GTCTGTTTTTTCTGTTGCTGGAAAGGCATGCTGTGTTTAAAAAAAAAGTGTTTAATCTTTTGTCGGACTGAGGTTGATTGAGGTTAGAACTAAAGAGGAGATTACCACGTAACAAGTCTAATCAGGTCGGATTTTTGAAAGTCCTGCTTGCTTTTCCATGCACAAATGCTGCCATGCCTTGTTTTTGTGTCTCCCACTGCAAGCTTTTCACATTCTTTCCAGGCTTTAGCTCACGGAAGTGGATGATCTTTAGGGTCCCTTTCAACCCAAACTGTTCCATGGTTCTATGATCGGAAGGTCATGCCCAAGGTCTCTGAAGGCAGCATTCCCAAGCCATTGGGGAACAGCAGGGCTGGGATTTCCAGTGGCAGTGGTGTGCAGCACACTGAGCCTGGTGCTGTGGAAAGCAGGAGCTGCTCCATGGCAGAACCGTGGTGGCCCAGGACCCTTCCTCACTCTGACTCTGTCTCAAGACTCCAGAGCTTGGGGTAAAGCTGTGTCCGTGTTCTCAGCCTTTCCAGAGCCTGCTGAAGTCTGAGGAGGAGCATCCAGACAGACACAGCATCCAACATTTGCTTCCATGTGTGTGTCTCGGAGTTTCTTTCTGTAACTCTGCAGTTTCTTCAGAGATAGATTACAGGAGGAGGAGAAATGCCTTCAGAAGAAGGTAAAGGAGGAGGCTTGCAAATCTGCCAGAAAGCAGATTTGGGAGTGGGGAAGGAATGGAGCTGCTTGCRCTTCCCGTCTGCTGCCTCCTCTCATGGGGCACTGACCTGGGAGGGAGCAGCTGAGGCCATGCCAGCTAAAATGACTAGATGTTGCTTATGGAAGGTTTCCCTTTTTTCCATATAAAGTAATTTTGAAGGGAAAGTACTTTACCAGCAGCTTAGGAGACTGGGGTGGTTTTTTTTTCAGACTTGCAGTAGCTTGTGAGAGTGAACAATGTTTAGCTTTTGCTCGGGTTTTTCCTCAAGGGGAGTGTTCCCAGCCTGTGTGTGACCTGGGGCTGTGCAGGGCAGTGCAGTGCTCAGGGGGGCTGGCTGGGAGCTGAGCTGACACCCATAAGAGCGTCAGAATGCAGTATATGGCTTTGTGTGTTCATGGTCTGGGCTTTCACACACTCCCAAGCACCAGGGCTCAGCCTACAGTGCTCAATGTCCAGCTGATTTTTGCCTTTAATAACAAGCCTGTAGGCCCTTGATTTTAGCAAAAAGTTTTTTTTTATTTTTGTGTGTGTGTGGACATCAAAGGAAATTGGTGAGCAGCAGCTAACCCTCAGCTGTGACTGACCATCCAGGTATCAGTGGGTGGACTGGGAGATGCCAGGGTCTGTGGCTGAGCAGAGAAGGGGTGCCCGGTGCAGGAGGGGTGTCAGGAACGGGTGCCAAGGAATGTCCTCATCGAGGGCGTCACAGGGAGGCTCTGCTGTGCTGTGGCAGAAAAGCAGCTACACACAACAATGGGAACTCCTTTCCAGCTGCTGTTTTTGACATAACCCAGGCTGTCAGCTCCCTGCGAGCTGCAGAAAAAGTAGTCCTTGTGTTTTCAGGCTCTCTCCCAGGGTGAATGAGCGCTGGGGCTCTGCAGAAAGCCCTTTCCTGGGCCACGGAGAGTTATTTGTTTTACAAACAATGGGCAGAGCACAGAGGAAATGCCTCAAGTGCCTGTGGAGAGCAGCTGATCTCCATCAACAGGCCGGGCTGTCATCTTGCTCACGGAGCTGCTGCTCAGCYAGGGAGATCCGTCCATCCACAGTGTCCCCGGCGGGACAGTGGGAGCCACTCTGCCACCCGATAGTGACCATTCTCAGGGCCTCACCTGAAGGCAGCWGAGGGACAAACCTTCCCCCCCGTGGGCAGTGCTGGCAGGAGAGCAGYGAGGTGTGGGCTGTAGGGGATGGTGGGGGCTCCTTGCTGGCAGGAMTCCGGGCACCTGCTCTGTACAAGGTGGGCTTGTTTGCACTCCTGGCTTTGCTGCCTTCACAAGAACTCCTGAAGCGAGAGGGGCACTCGGAGGAGGGAATGTCCTCACATCCCTGATGGGCAGGTGAGGCTCAGCCATCCCCTGCCTCTCCTGGTGTGTCACGTTGCCGTGTCATTTGTCCGTCTCTGCCCACTCTTGGGGACTGGGACCAGCACAGGAGTAAGCAGGGTGACTGCCATGCACCTGGGTGTCAGCTCACCGTGGTGACAGTTTAGCTGCTTCTGCATCCAGGCCCGATTTCACTTTAAATCTGCTGACTTCTTAGCCTTTCACATTTATTTTTAGTGGCGGAAGAAGCCCAGCTCGAGAGTTTTGGCTGTATGGATTTAAGTCAAATGTCCAGAGAAAGCACAGTGACTTTTCCCATGACACTCGTTGCATCTCTCAGGATGTGTATTCCCTCCTGGCCTSAGAGCTGTGTCACATACAGGCACAGGCCTGTGGATGCTTCCAGTTCATTCTGCAGCCAAATGCAGAACGTCATGTTCTGCCCGCTTGGATCAGGATGTACACCCCGAGCTCCAGCTCAGGACTGGTTTGTAGCAGCCAAGCTCTTACTGTGCTGTGACTGCTGTGCCAAGACAGACAGGGCTTTGCTGTGAAGCTGTGCAGGCAATTCCCCTGTCCAAGAAGAGAAACAATTTCTCCTCACCCAGGAGGTGGGTAGAAATTCCTCCACTCTCTTCCCCTGCCAACAGCTGCTGCTGAAAAATCCTGGTGTGAGCAAACACCTGTGGGTGTCTGAACCCTTGGCACAGAGGAAACTCAATGGCAACCAAGACTGAGATGCCTCAGGCAGTGGATTTAGTGGGTGCTGAATGCTGCCAGCTCCCAACCAGGGAATAACTGAGMCAGATCCTGGAAGAGCACCACAGTGCCTTAAAATCCACCTGGCTTTTAATGTAAGAGCCAGGATCTCTCCTTTTCTGTGGTGTCATTGGGGGGCAGCTGTGTTTTTCCTGCCTCATGGAAGAACCCCAGTGATGGAAAGGATGGTGTCACACAGGGACAGAGACAGCCCTGGTAGCTGGGAACAGGCACCAAGCTCTGCTCTAGGGAGGACACTTGGCATGTGGAGGGCTGGAGCAGAAGGCAGCAGCAGCAGGCCCTCACAGAGCATGGGGCGAGCCGAGCTGCTTGGGGACACTGTGTCCCATCAGAGCTTCCCAGCACCTTGTTATCCCTGTTGTTTAAGGGACACCAGAAAAAGAACGGCTGGGCTGTGCAGGAAATGCTGCACTGGGTAAGGGGAGCAGAGTGTGTGACCTGAGGCGGGCCCATCCTGGGGATGGCAATGTCCTGGGCTGGCCATTGTGGGGTACTCAGGGGGAAAACTTTCAGTAGGGTGTTGAAATGCTGCTTAAATCCTTTTCTCAGCTGAGCCTCAGCTCTGTGCAGATGAGGAGCACCTGGGTTGTGCTGCCTGCCAGGAAAGCAGCCCCTGCTGACTCTTAGGTGTGGCTTCAGCCATCRCCCAGGGCTACACATAAAACTCCTCTGCTTTCTCCACAGCTGTCTCCTGTTAGAATCAGAACTGGGACACTTCTGYAACAGAGAATGTTGAGTGCAGCCACCCCATGTCCCTTAGCAGCTTCCCACCCGCAGGCTGTGCACAGTCATTCCTGGACAGAGAAGTCTCTCGAAAGAGAAAAGCAAACACTTCTCTGGGTTGGCACCAGCTGCTCAGGAGCGGGGAACCACCTCAGCTTTTCTTGGGCTAAAACAGAAGGACGGCTGATACTCTGTGGCTGGTGATACCAGTGTGGATCCAGCCCTCRGATCCTGAGGAGAAAAATGACACCAGCTTTCTGCTGGAAGATATTGGTGCAGTGGGATGCACTTGAAACCTGCACCCCACTGTCAGCAACAGGGCTGCAGAGTGGAGTGCACGTGCAGGGCTGAAATCAGTGCCATAAGWAGCATCAGGACCCAAATCTGCCCCTCTTTTATGGGGCTTGGAATGAGCTGTGCTGAGTGCACTACACTCAGGAGCTTCCATCAGGCTGGAGTACCTGTCTGCATAGGAAATGCCTTCTCCTGATGGAGTGTAATGGGAACTTTAGTTTCCTGYTACTGCCTGCATCTTCAGAACAGAAGGGGGAAAGCTGTTTGTTGTGTTCTTAGAGCTATCAATAACTGGAAATAAACACTCTGTGCTCCTTTGGTCTGCACTTCCTATTGCAGGGAATTAATAGCTGTGTTTTGCAAAACAGCCTTTCTGAAGAGGSATTGAACAGAAAAAGCCTTTCTTCCCTTCCTGGGATATGGGTTACATCTCCAACATTTCCCAGCCTGAGGGGTAAACATCTCCAGCYAGATCTGCAAAACAGCTCTGCTCCGATCTGCCTTAGAAGCAACTCTGCTTAACCAGGAACTGGAGCTCTCTGGAGAAAAAAGGAGCTCTGCATTCCCTTAGTCCCTTCTCAGCTCCCCCCAGGGAGAGCTCTGCTGCCACCCAGCCTTCTTTGGCTGAGCATTGTGCACAGGTAAAACAGGAACAACATAGCATTGAATCCTACTAGCCCACTGCCCTGGAACTGAAAATCATGCTGGGAGAAAGGATGCTGCCAGGCTGGCCAAGCTCTCCATGGCATGACAGAGTGAACGGGATGCATCTTGTCTCCTTGGGGTCCTTCCCTCCATGCCTGCTGACTTGGTGACTGCAGGTGTAAGCAGAGCCAGCAGCTGGTACAGTTCTGCTCAGCCCCTAAGATAACARAATACAAACATACCTCTAACCTCAGTCTTGCAAGGAAATGGACTTTTATCATCTGAACTGCTCAACGCCTGAGTTTTCATCTCAGGCAAGTGCCCATCAGTCAGGATAGCTGAAGGCTGGATGTCTGTGTCACTTTTTATGTGATGTGGGGTTGGTCCAGTGAACTTTGCTCCTAGCAGGGGTCACCCTCACCTTATCCTCAAAACCCATCAAATGTGACTGGCCCCATTTCAAAGGCTTARCATGGAGACAGGCTTGCAGTCACCTCAGACTTAAAAGCTTCTCTCCTTTTTTGCAGGACCCTCCATTGTGACTCCTCCTAAGGACATCTGGAATGTGACAGGAGCACAAATCTACCTGAGCTGTGAAGTCATTGGCATCCCAACCCCTGTCCTCATCTGGAACAAGGTAAGAGCCCTGCTGCGAGCTCTTAGAGCACAGCAAACCTGAGGTGGCTGAAACTGCTTGATAAGCACAAAGGCCATTGCAAAGCCCTCTGTAGAAACACACCTCTTTGATGAGTTCTCTCACCCCCAAACATCTGGTTTTGCTTAGTCTTTAGCCATTATGYAGAAAATAAACTCTTGCTGGTCCTGAGCCAGGATAGGACTCGTGTTTCTCTTGGTAGCGCCTGGTATTCGGAGCATGTGGGGAATGTCCCTTGACCTGCCGTCACCTTCACCCTGCTGGCAGCAATGACACTGAGGTGGCTAGACATCGCCCACGTTGGGAACAGGAACCACATGGGGCAGTCATTTAGCTCCAGTAGCCAGCAGCATGTTGATTTTGGCAGCACTGGTAACATCTGCCTTAGGACAGGGGCCGGTGTCGAGCGGGAAGGATCTCGGCCATAGGGCTGAGAGCCACTGCACRGCCCCTGCAGCCTCCTCAAGTGCCACAGGTTTGTGGACACTTGTGAAGGACCTTAACATCAAGCTGAGGCCACACTACTTAAGGGTACTRTGGAGGAAAAAACTAGACTGGCCCAAAATTTGCTGTGGCAGCAAGCAAGCTTTAGTCATAAGCGTTCAAGAGCAAACTGTCAGGTGAGCATACAGTGTGGGCTTGTTGACTCAGTGAGTTCTGCTTGTTTATGAGTAGATGCTGAGTTTACACTGTCAGTGCTGCTGTGCTTTTCATGCCTCTTCCTTGTGGCTGAGACTGCTTGACTTGGTGGTAACAAGGGCTGAGCACCACTTATCCCGTGCTGTGCTCTGGGCTCGGACACACAGCACTGGGGAGYGACTGCACTGCTGCTTTCTGATCACCACTGTGCCTGCCAGGAGGGACTGCCTGCTTTGCTGCAGCAGAAACGGCAGGGCTGAACACACCCCTGGGAACACATGAGTTCTGTGAGGCCAGATCAGCACAGGGCACGTTGGCACCCCTCTCTGCCCTACACCATCCGTACAAGAAAACTGTGCCACTCTGTTGCTGTGAGGAACACAGCCTCAGGGCTGAGGTGCTGTGATAGTGGTGAGGATAAGGTGAAATGCTGACACCAGGAAATAGTGCTCCTGCGCAAAACACATTCACGTGTAATTGGTGCTGATCCGTGTGCAGGTATGGTTCAGCACACAGTTCCAGCATAAATAAGCCCCAAAGTTCTTATCCATTCCTGCCCTTCTGTTTAGATAATTCGAGGCCAGTATGGTGTCCAGAGGATGGAGCTTCTGCCTGGGGACCGGGAGAACTTGGCTATCCAGACCCGCGGGGGCCCTGAGAAACACGAAGTGACTGGCTGGGTGCTGGTAAGTACCTGGGGTGTGCACAGAGCTGCACAAACAGCAGAGTGTAGTTTGCAAACTGCTTGTGAACAAAGAACAGGACAGGAGAACATGGCAACATACAGGGCATTTAGAGGAAAACAACCTGTGTGAGTTAGGGATGAAGGATAAGGGTGGCTGCTGGCTCCAGTCCTACCTATTAAATGCACCCTTCCTCTACCTAGCATGTGCAGAAGTGTGCATTCCGTGCTCAGAGGAGGCTAGACTGAAACAAAATATCTCCTTTTTGAACATTATTCCTTTCTTCCTGCTGCTAGTGGGAAGGAGACCCTCACTGCATCTAGGAAGGAGTCAGTCCAGAGGCAGGGCATCCCTAAAAGCCACCCACAGCTGAGTGGGCTCTGACAGAAGTGCCCTTTCCTCAGTGAAGCACACTCACCAGCCCGAGAACAGCACAGCACAGGAGCCAGGGCTGCTGTCCCTCAGAGACCTCCCGATCCACAGAATACCTGCAGGCCCATCAGTGATTGCCACATAGCCCCAGGAGCTGCCACACAGCCCCTGTAAGGGAACTGCAACTGCAGGGGAGCACAGCCCGGGGCGTTGGTTCCCATACCGCTTGTAAAAGCAGACAGGGAACAGAGGGGAGGACAGGCTTTGACATGATTCTGAAAACAGAATCACCTCTACCAGTGCACGGATGCTCACTGGGGGAATGGGGTGTGTTCTTTCCGTCAGATATCTCCTCTGAGCAAAGAGGATGCTGGGGAATACGAGTGCCATGCATCAAATGCCAAAGGAGAGGCAACAGCTTCTGCAAAAATCCAYGTTGTGGAAACTCTGCATGAAATAGCCCTGACCAAAGGTTGGTAAGTGTGGCTAAACACTCAGCAGCTCTCTCCCCTAACAGTTTATTGCTGTTTGATACAAAAGAACCGCCACTGTTTAATGCTTTCTAAAAAAAATCCCCAAAACCAACAAACACCCTCTCTCATCTAGAAATACCAGTTTAACATGCAGTTTTTTGAGTTTGGCAAATCATTCCAGCAAATCTCAGCTGCTAGAGTTCTCAAGGGATTGTTGAATAACCCCCTAAGTGCTGTAAAGTACTGGAAATGCAAAATTAAAATTAAGAAACACCAGGGTTTTTTACAGGGCAACTTTCAGTAGGTTTCCAGCCCTACATTTGTATCACCCTTTCAGTGTTCTCTGGATGCTTTCAAACCTGCTCCCCTCTCCTAGGAGCAGTACTGGCWCAACAAACATCCCAATTCCTGCCATGTTCTCTGCATGCTGGGACATCAAACCTCAGAGATCTGCCACAGCATGTCCTCTTGGCTAGGCTGTGTGCAAAGCTGGTGGCAAACCAGCCACCCTCATTCCAGCTACAGAAAGGATGGCTCAGTATCACAGCCATGTGATATGCTTAGGAATAAATCTGGATAGTCAGAACAGTAACTGTAACCCTGCTACAGGAGAACAAAGCATCCAGCTAGAGAATACTGTGCTGCCCAAATCCCCTTCTGGACATAATCCTTAGTTTTAATCCCAGCTAGCTTTATCCACACTATATAGTCTTCTTGACTTTCTGTATCCTTATGTCTGTGAACAGCTGAAATACTTCCCTTAGAACATTAACAGCACCTGGCATTGAAATGAGAGCTTAAAATGTATCCAAATATCATGCATAGGAACTTTGCTAATRGTTTTTAGGTAGTGTGTAATCCCTTTTCAAACATCTTATTCATGGATGTGAATGAAATAGTTTTACTGGGTTGTGGCATGAACAGCACGCTCATAGCCCAGAACAGAAAATGTTCACCCCCTGCCACAGTAACTACTGCGAGGTTGCAGTGCCTAGTGCCTCCGTTCAGTTCTTACACACACCCAGCACATGTCACAGCTGGTTCCTCTCAGCTGTCGGAAAGCTCTCAGGCAGCTGGAGCTCAGTGATAAGTCAATGTAGACTGCCAGCTTAAAGGAAATTGATAAGGCTAATGGAACAAACTGTCAGACATCATAGCTACACTGTGAGAGTCTGTGTGCCATGTCCAGGTGATCTCAGCACAGAAAAACGTGCTATTACCACCCCCCTGCAGCAGGGAGGGAAGGAAAGAAGGCAGGAAGGAAGGAGGGGTCAGGTGCCTCCCTCAGCCAAGAGATCCCAAAGCTGTTGCCAAAGTTGTGTTATTCCCCTTGGAAAGGGACAGAGTGTAACATGTTTTTGTTTTTCCACAGATGATGGTGCAGAGCTGTGATGTGAGGACTTTCACTTACGCACAGTTTTAAATTAGTATTTTGGAAAGCTGCAAGCTCTGGCTTTTTCTTGCTGACTAATCATTCCCTCTTAACTCCCTTTTTCTYTGAGCCCCAATTTGCTTGCACACTTCTTTCATAGATACACAAAATAGATTCACAAGTTTGATTACAAATTTTAATTCTATTTACAGGAAATAAACATACTTTTGAACAGCACACAACAGATGAGTAAAACTGTATTTTGAATGCAACGTACACAAAATGAAACAAAACCTGAGCACTTTAGTCTCATGATTAAAAAAAGGAGCCCTTTTAAAGGCTAAACACTCATCATACGAGGTGCAATACTCATAGACATCAGTTCCTGGAAGAGGAGTTTGCAGGCATAGGGCATTCGCACCAAAGATATCTGGAAAGAGATTTCAAAAGTCTTGTAATAAACAAGCATAAAGCATCAACTTCTACCATCCTCTACAGAAACAACTTGTTGAGTTTTTGGCTTAAAAGCAGATCYGGAGTTATGCATGAAAGCATTTAACAATAATTGCTCACAGACAGTACCAAAGCATGAAGGAAGCCCAGACTGTCTGCAGAGGCTGCACAGCAGCTCTCCAGAAGACATTTTTAATGTGAAAGTGGAGCCAACAGATCTGATCCTAAACAAGAGCCATTTAACACAGAACATGTGCAGAGTAGAGTGTGCCTGAGGTGCATAAATGCGGGTAGGGTTTCCAGCACACATCACTTTGTAACCCCAGTGCTGTTGTTAAGAGTTGCAGCAGTCAGCCCCTGGCACAAAAACAAGTCTGTTCAAGGCAACTATTTTTATCTCTGCCACYATTCTCCCTTGACATAGTTCTGTAACCAAGCATGCGCTGCAAAGCTTTTAATAAATTAAAAAAAACACCAAAGTGCAACACAAAAGACCTCCCGTGGGGACCCAGCTCTGCAAGCATAAATATCTTCATGGGACAGTCACAAGGGCGATGCCTCTAAATTCCTGTGATTCTGAGTTTTACTTCTAAAAATAAGCTCTCAAGCATTTAAAGTCTCTGAAAAACCTGCACTGTAAAATACTTCAACAGCATTTCCTGCCAAGCAACAAGCCAACATTATAAAATTAATAAGGAAGCATCCAAACTGACTACAACACTATAAACACTTAAAACAGTTATGAAACWAAAATAGCAATTGTTCTGGTGCTTCTTTAAATATTTACTTCCCTATCATCCTGCTTCACACAAGTGSCATTTCCTCTTGCCCACAAGGTAAAACAATGGCAGACAAAAACCACACGTACCTGAGTTTTATTACGGCACCCTCGGCATTCRTAGGTGTGAGTCCTCGTGTTTGCAATTGCCATGATTCCACAGAGGTTACACACATGGACTTGGTATGGGTCTGAAGCTTCAAACAATCTTTCTCTCAAGAACTGGGCTGCTCCATGAGCAATCTGGCAATCTCGTTCCATTTCTCCAAAGCGAAGGCCACCATCACTAAAAGGAAGAGAAGAAAYCAACTTTTGAGTTCATTGGCAAAATTATCAGCTCTTGGTGGAGAAAGCAAGAGGAAAGCTGTGCATTAATTTTCCTCTAACACCTCACAATAAAACTGTGAAAGCAGTATTTTTTAACTGCTGCTGAGCATTTCTATTGCAGGTGTCTGACAGCCACAGCCCAACTTCCCAGCATAATGAAGTATACAATTAAGTCATCCTCTGATTATCTGTGGTGGGTTTAATCTTGGCTGTCAGATGCCCACCAAGCAGTTCTCTGACTCYCCAGCATGTCGACAGGACATAGGGAGAAAGTAAGACTGAAAAGGTCATGAGTGGAAATAAARCCAGGTGGATTGCTTATCAATTACTATCACAGGCAAAACAGATTCAGCATGGGGAAAATGAGTTTATCCAAAGACAAAACTAAAAAATTCACCTCCCCAACTTTCTTCCCAGGCTTACTTCACTCCTTCACTCCCAACTCCTTCCTCCCCTCCCTGTGATGACAGGGAGAATGGGGGTTGCAGTCAGTGCATCACACAGGCTGCTCCTTACTCCTCACCGTTTTATCCTGCTCCAGCATGTGGTCCCTCCCATGGGATAGTCCTTTACAAACTGTTCCAGCACGGGCCCTTCCCACAGAATACAATCCTTCAGGAACAGATTGCAGCAGCAGGGGTCCCTCACAGATCATACCTCCTGCCAGGAGCCTGCTCCAGTATGGGCTTTGCACAGGCTGCAGGGCAGTTCTTGTTGCATTTCCTCACTTTTCTCTCACAGCTGCAGCTCAGCATTTTTTAACCTTTCTTAAATATATTCCCACAGAGGTGCCACCAGCACCTCTGCTGGGCTCAGGCCAGCTCTAAGTGGCTGTGTCCAGCACAGGGCAAGCACATGTCCTTTCTCAGAGGCCACCCCAGCAGCACCTCCTGGCACCTGCACCCAATACACCATCTTAAGCCAAACACATGAAAAAATGGGCRGCTATTTGGGCTCAGCTAAGTTCTAGCTGCAAAGCTAAAGCAACTATTTGTTCACGGCTAAAAATCTGACAGAAAAAGAAAACACTGTAGAGAAAGTAACACACATCCTTACCGAGATCTGCCTTCCATGGGCTGCCTGTTAAGGATCTGGATTGGCCCTCGTGCACGAGAATGGATTTTGTCATCTACCATGTGCTTCAAACGCTGGTAATAGGTAGGACCAATGAAGATCTGGGATGTGATTTTTCGACCAGTGAAGCCATTGTAGAGGACCTAAAGAAGTCAACGCAGTCAGAGTCGTGAGCCTTACTACTCATCAAATGTGTATTAAAAATTACAATGAATTGATGTTTTGATTTTACCTCATTTCCTCTTAGATGGTAGCCATAATCTGATAAAAGATTGGAAATCTTCTGCACGTTGACAGCATCATTAAAAGGTGTGGCATCACCAATTTCTCCCTTGTTTGCAGATACCTACAGAGAAAAGAAGTTGCAAAAGTTTGTCAGGTATTTGAAGGACTGGTTAGACCACATTAAGCTGTTCCTATACAGCTTTAACTTTTAAGGTTGGCATATGAGGTTCAGTGCCCATGATAGTACCTTATCTTGCTATTTTTATCTACACAATTTAAAAAATGAACAGTATCAGCAATTTYGCGATTACTTTTCCTAGGTCAGGGGAAATGTCTGGAACAAAAGCAACAAATATGAGAGCACACTGTAGGGCCTGATAAAATTTATTTGCTGGATAAAATTTACAGAACTCTACATCTTCTCTAAGAAAGCTGCTTTTGTTATCAAGTAATTGGAGARCTATCATTTTAAAGTGAATTAACACCTACTAGATAGTATTTATCTTTACAAAAAAAAACCAGCTCAAAGCAAACAACAATCCCAACCAAATTTTAATTCCTATTTCTTAGACATGCAGTATAGAAGACTGTTCTTACCTTGCCCTGAAGACACTCAATCAAGTGACCAATGGTCATACGGGAAGGGATGGCATGGGGGTTGATAATGATATCAGGTGTGATGCCTTCACACGTGAAGGGCATATCCTAGAGCAGGGAAACACACAGTCAATTCTTCCCAAAACATCCTGTTTAGGACAAGTACATGCCTGGATCTAAGTCTTTTAAAACATTTCAAAGGAATTGAAAATGTAAGAAGCAGCTGTGTCCCCTTCTAAAAATATTTTAGTTACATTTAAGTCAACATACTGCAGCTGCATAGATATTCCACAGACAATTCACCTAAGACAGTTCCAGTGCTAGGAAGCCCACAGGTACAATGTCTAAAAGGAAGAAAAAAAGGAAAAAATGACTACCTCTTGCCTGTACTGGATACCACAGGTTCCTTTCTGACCATGTCTGCTAGCAAATTTATCTCCAATTTGTGGAATTCTTACAGAACGTACCTGTAAGCCATAGGAAAACATTCAATTGGTAACTTAAATACAGACAAAAGATGATTAAAGCAAAAAGCATGAACGTCAGTGCTCACCCTAATCTTGCAGAACTTGTATCCTTCCTGGTTCAGGGTTACCATGACCTGATCTACAATCCCAGTCTCACTGGTCCGCAGGAAGGTGCTGCAGTCTCTCTTGGTGAAGCGTCTGTTGGTGCTTTCCAGCTCATCTTCGTTTTCTGGCAGGGTGACTGTTTTGCCAATGATGACATCATCCCCAGACACACGTACCCCAGGGGCTATCAAACCATCATCATCAAGTTTGTCATAGATGGCGTGTCTCATACCTTGAGGGGAAAAAGAAAAAAAAAAGTAGACTCCCAAACTGTCAACATATTGACTGAGTTCTGCAGCAATTCAACAAGTCTGCTTGCAGCTTCAGACAACTGCTAAATATCTAATGCAAGTATCTCAATTCATATATTGCTATAAAATACAGAAATATCTGTATTAATATGTCCCAAAATGAAGACTGAATCAGTTCAACATAAATACCTTGCCCACAAAAACTTWATTCAAAAACTCAGTCGTCATACACTTCTTTAACTTACCTTGGCAGGTTTCACGTGTGGGCTTTTCAAAAACTTCCTCTTGGTCATACCCTTTCTTAGACTCCTGCTCTTTGTATGAGCGATAGAACACAGATCTGAAACAAAGTTATAAAGTCTTTTCCAGTGAAACCAGCATCATTTTCCCTCATCTGTATAAYTCATTTTCACATATTATGGCTACTGTTACTAATAACAACCAAACCCAAATAGTGAGCACATGCCACATAACCTTTCCTCTGAATTCCTGTTAATCTGACCTTCACTGAGGAGGGGGAAAAAGACCCAATAAAACATGCCACCAGGCAAACAAAAACCTGATGGCATTTTCAGTTTCAGATGGCATTATGATGGTCACTTTTCAGATACTGCCAAAGTACCTAACATGCCAATTTTTGATAAACTGCACAGACTTTTGGATCTGCTTGGCATCTCAGCAGTTCTTATTCCTAATGATTTTTCACATCTTTAGCATATCATTCTCCTTTATACCTGCCATTTTGCAAACATTTTTAGGCTTCTGCTGCTACCTTGCAGTGCCACACTCACTGAGCTGCAATGAAAACTTTTCAATTTATGTTAGGTTCTTTCTCGGGCTTTAAGGGTTTTTGTTTGCTGCCTCAGTTGCCAGCACACCAAAGTGCTTTCAGATACTATAATGCACAAAGCCACATCAGCCACCAGCTGTGCCAACAGCAGTTCCTTCTAAGGAGAGGAACATTCCAATCCTAACTGGTAGCAACTGTCCTACTAATAAAGACAAGACTATGTTAAAACGCTGCAACATTATTCATGGAACTGGCCAGAGTTTCTTGAAAATACACCACTGAAGAATCAGGATTTTTTTACACTGATACAAAGGATCCTAAACAAAGTAAACACGAAAATGGAAGAGTTAGGAAGGCAAAGTGGGCAGTCAGGTTTCATGAGGTTTTGCTGATACACACATTTGCTGTTTTCATTGTGTTGCTCCCTCCATCTCCATTAAAAAAAATGAAAAAGTTGGAAAGATTTGGAGAATGGCATCTTCCAGCATACAATAACCATTTCCTGAGCCTCTGGAGAACTCAGCATATCTTTTTAAAATTCCAAACAGTTAAAAAATTTACGAAGTCTTACCTGAAAAAGCCTCTGTCAACAGCAGAACGGTTCATGATGACAGAGTCTTCCTGGTTATAGCCTGTGTATGATGCAATGGCTACAATCGAGTTGATACCTACAACAGGCAGAGCAAGTATTTTCAAAATATGCACACATACCAAACAGACACTATTTAGACTCAAAATAGGCTGTAYTCTTTGCAGTGAAACTATTCTACCCTTTCTCAGATAAAATCTTTATGTCCCACACGCAAAAACATGCAGTATCAGTGAATGCAACTCTGGTAGAAAAGAGTGTCAAGAGTGACCCCTTGTGAAAAACCTAGCAAACAACAAAACAAAAAATGCATTTTTTCAGTTAGATTTTAGGAGAATACGTGGGTAGTAGTTTCAGCTGCAATACTATCAATTTTTTGCAGTCTAGCTGTCTAGCTACAAGTTAACACTTATCCTATAGTTATTTCTTACATTGCATGGATTTGCTAAACGGTTCAGGTACTCTACACACACCATTTGTGACATGTTTTCAGCAAAACAGTAGTATTTTTGCTCAATGAACATGAACTGCCAACATACCTGCTGGTAACTCTCTAAATCTCAAGTACTCCATGGAGCGTGTTGTCACCAGGGGCTTCTGGGGATAATACAACACATGTGCCAGYGTATCCATACGGACATGGAAGTTGGTAATGTAGACTCCCATAGCTTGTTTACCCATAGCAGACTGGTATGTGTTCCTGGGAGACTAGACAGACAAGGGAAGACAAATAATTATGTACATAAAGCTCTTTATACCTGTGGGTGTTCTATCAGCTCTAAAAGCCAGATGTCAGCAGAGGTGCACTGACCTGGTTGTGATCAGGGAAAGGGATAATAGATGCACACACTCCCAGGATCATGGATGGGTGAATCTCACAGTGYGTGTATGTTGAACAATATGCCACACCTTTCTCTTGCAAGTCATCTGGAGTCATTGCCAGCATCACAGTCTCTTCTTCCAGGGTGTCAATGTACTCTACTACACCACTGGCCACAAGATCCTGCCAACTGAACAACCATAACTCCATTAACACTTAAAATGGGTCTCTTCAGCAGTAACAAGAAAAAGGCCTTCCCTAGCTTATTACTACCACTGCCTCAGTGTGATTAAAAAAATTAATTAAACTACCAGGCAGGGAAAGCATACTTGTGCTGCACAATGCTTTAACCATTCCTCTCTCCCACCTGAGGGAAAATGACACATCCAGCTGAATTTCAGGGATGTTGTCTYACCTGTAGTTGTTATACTCTCGCTCCTTCAGTTGGTCAATGTGCCTTTTCTTCAGCAGCAACTTTTGTTTCTCCACAATCAAAAGGGGCCGACAAATTCTGCCYGCATCAGTGTAGATGCGGATTTCCCGCTCACGAATATCTCTGATCATCGAGACCTGGGCAAGAGAGCARCACCCCGTGAGTACAATCTGTCAGCTTGGAATCAGAACCACAGAACATGAGACAAGGTAACTAAATTCTTTACAGGCACTATCAGAAGCACAGAACAAACAGTAACACTCCTACAAACAGAAGCATTTCAGAAGATTATTTTCAATTGTTTTGTCTTTCGAGTGGAACCTCTTTAAAAACAATGCCCCCCTGCCCCACAGGATAGCATACACATCATCAAACAATCTAAAAACAAAACAAAACAAAAAAATCAAAAGCACCAAACACAAAAAACTCCCCAAATAAAACACAAAACAAACTCCAATGTGAAGTATATCCCCAAAGATGCTTGCAAGTAATCCTTACTTGGARTTTTCAAAATAGTATCAAGGCATAATCCTCTCTTGTCTAAAAGGACACCCAAATTCTAAATGCAAAATTTGTACCTCTGATACAATGATGTCCATCTGACGACGAAGCTTCCTTAGGGTATTCATGAGCTGCTCTGGATCTTTGTGTATTCCTACCCAGCAGCCATTAACAAAGATCTTGGTAGCACTAGAAAGTGGGAAAACCAAACAAATAATGATTAAAAAAAATAATAATTAAAAAAACAAATAATAATAATTAAAAAAATCCTAAACCACCGAAGAACCCCAAACCCTTGAAATGTTGTGCAAGATAAAAAGCTCAAGTGTCTTTAAAGAGTTTAATTTGCACATACTCAGCTATTGCTGCTGGAGATATTTCTTCTAGGTTTTCCATACTCCACTCCTCCAAGAATTCCAAAATTGGGGATGGCTGA